ATTGCATTAATACTGCACCATACAGTAGAATTCAATAGAGTTACTGCCCTGGGATTGAAGCTGTTTTTCAGTGGCGAGGGAAACTTTGGCAGGGCTCTCAAGGGACTAGAGTGACTCCGGCTGCTTTTCACCACTAACAGGCAGCCAAGCTATCTTCAAACTGGCGAGTGCTCCTTGAGAAAGACGATTTTGCAGATAGCTTGGCTGCCTGTTAGTGGAGAGAAGCAGCCGGAGTCACTCTCGTCTCTTGAGGGTCTGGCAGAAGTTTCCCGCGCCGCTCATGCTTCAGCGCTTTTATTCCCAGGGGTAGGAGTTCCGCCAAGCTACCTGCAAAATTGTCTCTCTCTCTCGAGGAGCACTTGTGGAGAGAAGCAGCCGGAGTCACTCTCGTGTCTCAAGAGCTGGCCAAAGTTTCCTGTGTTGCTTCTGCGAATGCTGAGAGAGAGAGAGAGAGAGAGAGAGAGAGAGAGAGAGAGAGAGAGAGAGACGATTTTACAGATAGCTTGGCTGAACTCCTGTCCCTGGAAGTCAAAGTGCTGAAGCATGAGCAGCACAGGAAACTTCGGCAGGCTCCTCAAGAGAAGGTGGAATGCTGATGCCATGCAAATGCAAGTAGCATGGCGCTCCCACAACTTCCAGCCATCTCCATTTCTGCTTCGGCCCACCTGTGCTGCCCCACCTTTCTTGCTGCAACAGCACCGTTACCTCATCCTGGCTGGCGAGGGCTGTGCTTTTTGCACATTGCACCACCCACAAATTTGCACATTACATGTGCCACCCCCTATGGTGGAGATTTCCAACTCAACCACAGGCCAGTCCCATATTCCAGAGCTGCAGTAGTCACAAGACTGGCCCTTTGGTCATCCCCGAGCAGCTCCTCCAGTCCATGGCAGGCCGGTGTACCCGGGTGGAGGAGCAGCTGCTCCGGGGTGACCAACGGGCCAGTCCTGTGACTACTGCAGCTCTGGAATATGGGACCGACTTTCCCACCAACAACAGCAAGCCACTGTCAGTCAAAATTCATATTAGTGGTCCGTGGGATTTAAAATTATGAGTTTGGTGGTCCCTGAGGTCCAAAAGGTTGGCAACCCTTGATATAGAGAGAAAAGAGTAATGGAGAGGGCCCACAGCCCCAGTGGTTTTTGCTAATTGGTTTTATGATTTTAAGTCTTAAAATGCCTCGGGCGGCCTCTCCCAGTGGCCCCTTCAGGTTCGGGCTGGAGGGACTTGGGAAGGAAGCCAAGCTTGGGTCAGCCCGGCTCTTTCGCTTGGCAGGCGGGCGCGCACCCATGGCTTGCTTTCCTGGCTCTGCCCAGCCCTCACGGCTCTGGCGTGGCCCTGGCAGGATGAGCGGAGGGTCCAGCGGGGAAGCGCTCGCTGCCTTGGTGAGAGCTCTGCTGCTGGGAAGGAGGGCCCACCTGTCAGCTGCGCTGGGCGCCCCAGGCGAAGCTCTTTGCGCTCTGCCCGGCGCCAGGCAGGGATGGCGGCTGGGCGCTTCTCCCGAGGTGGGCCAATCCTGCGCTGCGGCCCCGGGAGATTCGCCTCCCCACGTGGGGTTGGGCTGCCCTCTCGGGCAGGGGAGGCTTTGTTGTAGTAGGGTGTCATTTTTAAAATAATTCGCTTTACCTTCGAAGGCAAAGGGAAGATGGTGACAGGAGCGCCTGAAGCCAAATGTCTCCTCAGGGCTCCGGTTGCAGGGAGGAGCCCTGGCTGGCCACACGTGGCTGCGCCAAATGCCGCAGCATTGCTCTAACGCCGCGGCAACAAGGGAGAAGGGAAAGCAACGGTGGCGGAAGGTCTCCCAATATGAAGGCCCCCACCAACGTAGGTAGCACCATATCCAGGCATGCAACAAAAGTACTTCCTAATGGCAAGCCCCCCGCCATTCCCCCCCCCCATTTCACATGTTTAATATGGGCCTTAATTTGGGGGGGAGGGGCTTAATTTGATTTTATGCCAATAAAACATGGTGGGGCTTCCTATTGGTGGAGGCCATATTGTTGGAGAAACACGGTAGATGAAGACCTCAATGAAAATTTGGAAGCATTCAAGCATACTTGAATTGAAGGCAATCTAATATATCTCATGGTATATTTTCTTACAATTTCCAGATAACTTGAATCTAAGAGTCCATGTATGTATTATGTAATGTGTAAGCCAGAATTTTGCAAACTTAGTAACTTTAAGATATAATATAAACTAGTACGTTTAGAAGGCCCAAAAATGCAGAACACTGTCACACATATTTCTTGGAAGTAAGCCCTATTTAATTCAGCAGGCATCATTTCTGAGTGGCCTTGTGTGAGATTGTGGAATAAAAATTCAATCTCTATACAGTATAGTATTTTAGTGGCCCAGATAAAACAATCTGGCTTTCTGATTGGAGGAGCCTCTTCTACCAGCTGGATCAAATGGAATTCTACCTGAAGAAATCCAGCAAGTTCTGAATGAACAGAAATATTTCTAAACTCTTGAAAAGTGGTTGCTGAATACCTTGAAGGAACTGTGATACAAATCATTTGGGTCACCAAAATTTGATTTGATAATAGTGAGCAACAATATAAGGGGCACACGTGTAATTGATTAGTTCCTTCTCTGTGACTTTGACATTTCCGTGTTTTGTGCTCAGTGGCAATTAATCCAATTATATACACTGATAGGTTGAGAGACAGTTTTTAACAAAGCAGTTAATTTGCAACTTCCCCTTTTCACTGCAGCTTTCCATTTTGGGGTGGGGGGTGGGGGAGAGAAATCCACCTTGTAATCCAATCTGTCGTTTATTTTTCTCTGATTTTACTGTCTTCTGGGCAATTCCCACCCACCCCCTTCCTGAGAAACAATGAAGAATCCATCAACTTGATCCCAGCCAGAAAAACAAGAAAGGCAAACTCTGCAGACCAGCCAGTGAGGAGAAGTGACAGCAAGTTAGTATATTATGGATTACAGAGGCTTTCGAGAAATGAAAGAGAGGATGTCACCAACGCTCTCCACTCTGGACTATAAAAAGCTTCATGGCAGCCAAGAGTTAGATGTTTCTGTGTTTTTGCTGCCACCTGTGGTCACTTCTGCAGGCCAGATGTGGTCACCCATAATGTCATTCCAGGAGGTCTGTAGCATCTGGAGCAGAGGAAGGTAGAAGACAAATGAGGTAGGGCAGCGTAAAGCCAGGCTGAAGAGAGCGCTTGTTAATGATTCTGCTTTTTATGTTGGAAGCAAAATTTATCCTTAATCTTGGTTGTCCCAAAGGTGCTTTTTCAAGGTGCTTTTTCAAGAGGCACTGGACTTTCTGGTGTTTTTTTTCTTTGAAGAGGTTTGTTTCGCTTCTCATTCAAGAAGCTTCTTGAGCTCAGGTTATAGCTTCTTGGTTGAGATGTGAAACATCTTCAAAGAAAAACCAGGAAGTCCAATTGCTTCTTGAAAAACAATCTTTGGGGCAACCATCACCTGGATGAATGAGAATCTCAATAGACACTTACACTTGGTTATTTACTTAGCGTATGACACATTATCCACGGACTAGCAATTTATATTAACATTTCATCTTAATCCGGGTTAAAGTAATGCTAATTCTAGTTAATTCTTTAATTCTAGATAAGGAAAAGATTCCCGAGAGAGTTCTGAATAGTTGGTAATCTTAAAGAAGCTGCCTAATCCCAGATTGTGTTGGGGCTAGTGATTTAGTGGGTTATGAGAAGGAAATAAGGCACACTTAATAGATACTTTCCCTTTATTATTTCATTAATTCGCCTTATACTGTACTTTTGCCTGCAGAAAAGGTGTCTAACGAGCAAGGCTTTTCCATTAGCTTCCTAAGGGTAATGGTCCAGGGCACTCTGCAGATGCTCTGAGATTCATTAATGGCTGGCTGTTATGTTGAGGTTGATTTTTATCTGTCTATCTATCTATCTATCTATCTATCTATCTATCTATCTATCTATCTATCTATCTATCTATCTATCTA